TCCTTGTGTTTGGGTGGGGAGGTGGGGAGGGGTTCCTTGTGTTTGGGTGGGGAGGTGGGGAAGGATGAAGAGGAAAAGAAGCAGAAGAGTGAGGTGGAAGGAGAGGATGGTGATCATAAGGGTGAAGAAGGAGAGGAGGAACAGAAGGTTGAAGAGACGATGATGATGATGACGACAATGCTGCTGCTGCTGTTTCTGATGATGATGATGATGATGATGATGATGATGATGATGATGATGATGATGATGATAAGGAGCATGAGGATGAGGAGGAGAGAGCAGCGTACCGTGGTGACACGTTTGTAGATCTGCGCGGGGTTGTTGCACTCGGAGTAAGGGTACTCGTTGGTGGCGGAGGAGAAGGAAGAGAAGGAGGAGGAGGATGAAGAGGAGAGAGCCGCGTACCGTGGTGACGCGTTTGTTGATCTGCGCGGGGTTGTTGCACTCAGAGTAAGGGTACTTGTTGGTGGCGGAGGAGGAGGAAGAGAAGGAAGAGGAGGACAAAGAGAAAGAAGAGGAGGATGAGGAGAAGGAGGATGAGGAGAAGGAGGAGGAGGAGGAGGAGGAGAGAGCAGCGTACCGTGGTGACGCATTTGTAGATTTGCGCGGGGTTGTTGCACTCAGAGTAAGGGTACTCGTTGGTGAGGAGGAGGAGGAGGAGGAAGAGAAGGAAGAGGAGGACGAGGAGAAAGAAGAGGAGGATGAGAAGGAGGAGGATGAAGAGGAGAGAGCAGCGTACCGTGGTGACGCATTTGTAGATTTGCGCGGGGTTGTTGCACTCAGAGTAAGGGTACTCGTTGGTGGCGGAGGAGGAGGAAGAGGAAGAGAAGGAAGAGGAGGATGAGGAGGAGGATGAGGAGAGAGCAGCGTACCGTGGTGACGCGTTTGTAGATCTGCGCGGAGTTGTTGCACTCGGAGTAAGGGTACTCGTTGGTGGCGGAGGAGGAGGAGGAAGAGAAGGAAGAGGACGAAGAGAAGGAGGATGAGGAGGAGGAAGAGGATGAGGAAGAGAGAGCAGCGTACCGTGGTAACGCGTTTGTAGATCTGCGCGGGGTTGTTGCACTCAGAGTAAGGGTACTCGTTGGTGGCCATCTCGAGCATGCACATGCCGAACGCGTAGACGTCGACCGCCTCGTCGTAATGCTCCTCATACATCTCCGGCGCCATGAACTCAGGAGTACCTGCAGCGACAAATACACACCGGTCACATACACGCACGCACGCACGCACGCACGCACGCACGCACGCATGTACACACACACATACACCAGCCATGAACTCAGGAGTACCTGCAGCGACAAATACACACCGGTCACATACACGCACGCACGCACGCATGCACGCATGCACGCACGTGCACGCACACACACACAGGTCACACATACAGACAGACACCGGTCACTCACACGCACATAGACCGGTCACACATACACATAGAGACAGACAGGCCATGAACTCAGAGGAGCACCTGTAGCAACAGTTACAGACAACAGGTCACACATGCAGACACAAGCACGCACGCACGCACGCACGCACGCTCGCACGCACATACACAACCCAC